TTGTGTTTGTGTTTGTGTTTGTGTTTTTTTGAGAGTGAGTGAGGGATTCAATTTCTCTGTGTGCGTGTGTCTGTTTGAGAAAGGGGGGAGGGAGGGAGAGAGGGAGGAAGGAGGGGGAGGGAGAAGAAAAAAATGGGAAAACGTATTTTGCAAGGGGGGAAAAATGCTGTCACTTTAAATCAGAACTGAGCATGCCTGGCTGTGGAATTCTGGGAGTTGAAGTCCACAAGTCTAAAAAGTGCCTCACCAGCCCTAAAGCTAACCGCATGTCACTGCTGGTAATCAATGGAAGGAATCCAGGTCAAACAATTCTGGAAGTTGAAGTCCATACTTCTTAATGTTGCCAAGACTGTGAAACGCTGATACAAGAGGAAGAAACCACTGGATTATATAGCCTCCCTTCTCTCATACACAGCTTTTACTAGGTTGAGTTTTGTAAGGTCTGTTTCTCTAAAACTCATTCTATTGAAAGGCCATCTTAAAACAAAGAAAAACATTTTATGTTTATCAAAACAAAGAAAAGCACTTTCACTACCAACTGCCATACTCGTTATCAAATGTAGTGACTGTGAACTATGATGTGAAAACTTCCGATTTCCGAAAAGGAGCCAGACAGTGATAAATATGTTATAACATAGCTTTTAACAGGGTCAGGTCTGAAGCAATAGTACAGAGTGAAACCCTAAAGTTTTTTATCATGTTTTGTAACACTTGCAATGTATGATGTGCTGATGATACCTTGCAATGTCTTCTGTGTTTCTCGTGCTTTGTTTAACACTTTTCCACTGTTGGTTTTAAGTCTTTCAGCCATTCCAGGTATATCTTTTTCATCCACTGTCTGAAAATGAAGCATTGCCAGGTAAGAGGTTTGTACAGCAAAAGAAGTGCAATTTCATAATCCAAGCCAGCAGTAGCAGAATTGCTGTAACTGTTTTGTGTGACTTCAGAACTAGAGGTTGGTGCAAAATGAAGCAGGTGGCAAAAGGGGGGGCCAGAACAGAGCAATATGCTCCAGAAACAGAGCTCTTACGATAAAAATAAATTTATTTTGAAGTTTATTTATCTCAGTAGGCAAAATCTCTCTCTTATCTATCACATTTGAAAGAACTTCCCTAGGAGAGAACACAATGCTTACGTATCTCTACTTCTATCTGACCAGAACCCTGATAAGTCTTTTCAGGCCTCCTGATGTTGTGCTACCATTTGTTCTATTCATCCTACCTATGACTGAAGAGTGCTATAAATTTTGGTGATTGTCTATCTGACCAGAACCCTGATAAGTCTTTTCTCTCTCTCATATTGCTATTTTGTTTTTTAAAAATGTGCATCTCTCATAAATCACCTGGCAATCAAAGATATTTCTAGTGTTTCCTATAAAAGCTTTCATATAGCAATTATTTTTCCTTAAGAATTTGTTTGTAAGAAGAAAAAAAACATGGGAATTACACCTCGGAATTAGAGCCAGGTGGCACAGTGGTTAGAGTGCAGCACCGCAGGCTACTTCAGCTGACTGCTAGCTGCAGTTCGGCAGTTCAAATCTCACTGGCTCAAGGTTGACTCAGCTTTCCATCCTTCCGAGGTGGGTAAAATGAGAACCCAGATTGTTGGGGCAATATGCTGACTCTGTAAACTGCTTAGAGAGGGATGTAAAAGCACTATAAAGCAGTATATAAGTCTAGGTGGTATTGCNAGTGTTCAAATATCTCAGGGGTTGCCACAAAGAAGAGGGAGTCAAACTATTCTTCAAGGCACCTCAGGGTATAACAAGAAGCAATGGGTGGAAACTAATCAAGGAGAGAAGCAACTTAGTACTAAGGAGAAATTTCCTGACAGTTAGAACAGTTAATCAGTGGAACAGCTTGCCTCGAGAAGTTATGAATGCCCCAACACTGCAAGTCTTTAAGAGGATGTTGGAGAGCCATCTGTCTGAAATGGTATAGGGTTTCCTGCCTAGGCAGGGCGTTGGACTAGAAGACCTCCAAGGTCCCTTCCAACTCTGCTATTGTATTGTATATAGAAAACAGACAATGTTGAAAGCTTCACATGGAACAACAGGCTTAAAATATCTAAATGCTAAGAATCAATTAGAAGAATTATACTAGGATGGGTAATTAACACAAATAATTCATGACAGTACACATTTGATGCTTTTAGAAAGTAATTATGTGGGTCCTTTGACATAATGACAGGAGCTTGGCTCTATTTTTAGCTATAACTCCATTTATTTACTGCATTAAAGATACATTTGGAAGATAATTTTCACCATTATTCAAATAATAAATCCCAAACTGAAAATATCATGTAAATAATTTGTTGGGGTCGAGGAAGTCACAGAAAAATATGGGTATTAGGTAATATTTTAGATTGGTTTATTGTTTAGTGCCCTAAAACTGGTGAGACATAATAATTGATATACAAGCCGAAGAAAACCCTTACATAAACATGGGACTGATGTCTCAAGGCCTAGAATAAGGTAAATTCAAAAAGAGTGGAAGGTTTAGGATTTTAAATCTGAGTTTACCAAATAAACATAGAGATTAATTTCTGCATTTTGCTGTAGACTGACATTTTGCTTACATATGATTTATTTCTTGACAGAGTGACTCCTTTTTTAAATTCTGGAACACCGTTATGTTGTTTTCAGTTTATGAACTTTCTATTGAACTAATCAATATTGATTACTATTTTTCATGTGATCTTCAAGGGTGTATTTAAACATTAAGCTTCATTATTTTCCATATGTAATATAATATTATTTATTGCTATTTTCCCTGTGTTTCTGGTTTTTTTTCTTGTTTTTTGCTGATTTTTTCCTTATCTTTTTTGGCATATTAAGGTTATATAATTTTTAAAATGCTATCTCAAATTAAACAGCAGTGAAGAAGGTACCTAGGGCCATGTTCAAAGATACAAATAAACTGTGCTTCCAGCTCATATATAACAGAACAATCCAAAAGAGGGCACTCTTCTTTATATTTCAAAGGGCTCTTAACTATCTCTTTTTGTGATTAATCCAAATATAGACTAGTACTATATATGATCAAGACTCAATTCAGAGCCTTTTGGGAGAATGAAGAGCTTTTAGAGATAACAGAATCCAATAATTTAAAGGTTCTGGATTGGGACCACTGCTGGTGAAAACATCAATGATAGTATTGTTACAGTCATGACGTTTTCCACAGGTGAAGACTTGGCCTCTGCAATAGACAGAACGCCTCCCTTTACCTCAAATTTATTCAGTTACGTGTTTTTTTTTTTTAAAGGTTTAGACTTGAAATTTTAAAAATGAATAAATTACAGTAAAATAAAATATATTTTGGTGATAGATTTATGATTTTTCAATAATGGCTTGGTAAGAAACAGTCAACACTTACATCTTTGTTACCCAGATACATGACAAACATGTTGCGTGTTTGTGTCATGACTTCCTTTTTATTAGGCCTTTGTAGAAGGAAAGAAAGGGAAGTATAACCCTTCAGATCATCCAGGATATCAGGAAGTCGAACTTCAACTCCCGATTTGCCGTTGAATTTCATAGGGATGGCCACCTAAATAAGGTTTGTAAGTAATTACAAACTTAGTTAGGAAGCAAAGCAAAGCTTCAACTTACACACATTTCAACAAGTATATCATTCTTAAACAATTCAACCAACTTGGACTTAAATAGTTTTTTGAATATTACTCTTATCCCCATTGGCTTGACCTATGTAGACATCCAAAATAAAACACTTTTGAGAAAGGATGCATAAAAATATTTTGATAAGTATGTGAGAATAATTTTTTAAAAGGAAGCAAGGAATTTTTTGCCACGCACCTTATTTGCAGCATCCCTGGCTTGCTGGATGAGCTCCCTGATGCGATTTATATTCTCAGTTAGATTGCTTGTTGATATGACTTGTTGATTGATATTTGTAATCTTGTTAAACAGATCTGGGAGCATGCTTGTTAAATTATTTACTGTTGAAAGCATTTTAAAATGAAGGAGAAATGTAGGACATTACATATCAAATTTCAGATTGCCAATTTATAGACATAATTATTACAATTATGACTAAAGCCTAAAGGAACCGGGAAATTAATTTTTAGTTATTAACAATATACTAGTTTAATTACTTGCTAATTATAAGTCCTGAGTGGGTACAGAAATGGAAAATTATAATTGACCAGCTTGCCATGCCCTATTTTGTTTTCAAGCACACAAACTAGAAGAAATAGCTACAACTGTTAAGCTTAAAAATATGAACAGTCTTTTCCAGTCTTTCACATCCTCCAAATGTCTTGAACTACAAAAATTATTCAGCCATACCCAACATTCAAGGTAAAGAATTCGAGATTTGTCTAAACAACCACTGGGAAATATACTTATAAGTTTGGAGAAAACATGACTAGTATTGTACTATAAGCCCAATAATCACTATAGCTCTCTAACAATGTTCTACAACAGAAAGGGGAACTTTCCCTATATCTAAAATGAGGCTGTTGCAGGAAGTGATAGTCCTGTGTAGATTTGCTTCACCATATAAACTTGCTTCAATTTAACAAGTTAAACCTACTTGTGTTCTGTTAAACCTAAACCTATCACTACAATAAGTTAAACTTGATATCTGAAATCATTACAAGTGGTGTTCCCAACTGCTTCAACCCAATGATTATGCCCATAAAATGGAGCAAGGGGATTCAAGCATTTTTGCTACTGCTTAGATTTGATCAAAGTCTCTAAAATCAGATATCCGAGAGCTGCCTTCCATATATCTATGCTATGTAGGTTTTGACAGGTGTTACTATGCAATTTCTTAGGTCATAGACCTAAATTATCTGGTTTTGACTTTTCCAGAAAATTCTCCACAAAGTTTGGTTCCATATGACTCAAAAGACATATCAACAATTGACCTTTTTCAGAAAATATATCATAAGAAAACTCTGACATTAATTTAAAAATATATTAAGGAATCCATGTAAAAGAAAAAAGCTACCTGAATGGCTTGCTTCTCTCAAAGCCTTGTTGAAATCAGTAATCTGTACATTTTCATAAGTGTTTTTTATGTTCTCAACTCCAGCTTTAATTGGCTCCAGTTCACTGAGTACATTTGTAGTAATATTGTTGGCATTCTTAATCATGGTATTTGCAGTTGTGATTAAACTCTCTGTATTATCTAGTAGGCAAATAAAGTGGCATATACATTCAGGATAACATTTATTTGTCTTTTAAGATACAAAATATGTAAAATGCTCTCTACTGAAATATATGAGACTTATATTCTGCACTATTGTAGGTAAATATATAATTTGTATACAATTTTTTGTTTCTTTTCTTCCACTTAATGCTTTTTAAATAAAAAATATAAGGGTACAATAAATTCAATAAAATGTACATTAGTAAAAAGCCACATCATCTTACTTACCTCTCTCTATTCCCTGGAGGTTATTTTGGAACTCACTAAGATCTCCCCGTATTGCAGTTTTTTTCCGTTCGGCTTCCTGAAGCTTGTTCTTCATATCATCAAGTGCTGGACTGAGATCTATAAAATAATCCACTATAAATCATCCTGACAATTATGGATTGCCCTCACTTTATTACTAACTAGCTGATGACCCGGCATTGCCCAGATATTTATAGACGTTTGTCTGACAGGGAGCCATTGAGAGGGGCCTTTTTCCCCCTACTCCCATGCCTATCAAGCCTGCCCTCTCTCTTCCCCCTCCCATGTGCTCCTCTTTCCCACCCTGTCTATGATCCTGGCACATTGCCTCAAATCCATCAGGCACTTCCAATTGATTCACTGGAGGACAAACGTCACAGTTGGCTTTCCAGAGGAATCAGCGAAGGAACTGACATCACAAACAATTGCTGCTCTAGGCCGTTACACTTGCTCTGCTTAACAGCTCAGGCTCTCCCTATTCCCTCCCATGACATCACAAACAATTGCCCTTTGCTTGATTTGAAGTGGAGACATCAGAAATAACTAAAATACAGCAACCAGCCCATTGTAGCCCCCACCTCATTGTGGAGGAAGAAGAGGTGAGGAGCATTCTGAGGGCTGTGAACCCTAGAAAGGCTGCTGGTCCTGACGGTATCTTTGGCCAAGTGCCTAAAAGATTGTGCTGATCAGTTAGCTGGAGTCTTTACCAGAATCTTCAATCAGTCTTTTTTCCCAGTCCACTATTCCACCTTGTTTAAAGGATTCCACCATTGTTCCGCTGCCAAAGAAGTTCCCTATCAATAACTTCAATGATTAAGGACTAGTGGCACTCACTCCTATCATCATGAAGTGTTTTGACAAATTGATCTGCTGGCACATCATTTCTGGTCTTCTGCATACATTTGCTAAACACTAGTTTGCATACAGAAGAAATAGATCTACAGAGGACGCTATAGCCATCATTCTTCACACTACTCTGACTCATCTGGAACAGTGGGGGGGGGGGATTATGTGAGGATGCTTTTTGTAGATTTTAGCTCTGCATTTAACACAATACTTCCACATAGACTAGTGTCTAAACTTATGGATCTTGGGCTTTCTTATTCAATCTGCCTTTGGATTATGGATTTCCTGTCTGGCCGCTCTCAGAGGTCAAATTAGGTAATATATCTCTTCAGCCTTTATTTTTAACACTAGTACACCCTAGGGTGGTGTGTTGAGTCCCTTACTCTATACTCGTTATGTGCATGACTGCATTTCCACTCACACTATTACTATCTGGGGGGGGGGGTGAGTCTACCTAACAAGATGAGGTGGACTGGTTGCTTTTGTGGTGTAGAGACAATAACTTGGTTCTTA